TCGTCACCAGATCTCTGACATGCGATAACTAAACAAAATTCCAACCTCTACTTGTTTTCATGGCATTTATTTTCTCCCCTTTTAAATATCATGAAAATCCTCATGAAAATACATTGACCAACACCAGTTTCCAGCCTTTTTCATCTCTTCGTTACTCAAACAGCAAAGCTTTGCTGCATTTCTCCTTTGTCTCAACACATTACAGAAACTTGATAGCGCCTTTTCTTAGTTATCAGCTACAGCTTGCCTCTATCGCACCATCACCCAGATTGGATTGTTCAGATAACAGTAGCCTGCGATACACTTGGTAACACGAGCGCGGCTGTCATCGGAAGTGATGTAGTTGTTTGAACTATCAGCATTATCCCACATGTCAATCCACTTGTCTGTTTCACGATGGATTTCAGAACGCCCGAACTTTGAATAGATGCCTAATTGCGCGATTATGTGAAAACCCACAGTCGGATTTCTCTTACTGTTATCAGCCGGGCTGTACTTGTAAAACCCGTGGATGTTCTTGTTGGCATTGTAGGTTTTCCCCATCAAGAACTTGTCGAACTCTGTTTTGTCCTTATTTGGAGCGCCCCGCTTCCTGTTGTAAATAACCCGGATGGTATTGATGTCACTGAACCGGAACATGACCTCTTCCCAGTCCCCCATGCCAGGGTGGATGTGACTCGCTGCATCTGCTACTTAGTTTTGGCGGCCGATGGTGAGAACGCTGTTTTGATAAAAATGAAGCCTGGAGACAACTTTGTGGCAACTAGTGTCCAACCTCCACTCTCTGTCTCCATGTCGCAAAAAGCTTGGAAGGAGTCATCTGTCGAGCCTCCGTTTGGGTCGATCCAGTAAAGTCCGCTACCACGACTGTCACCTAAAATAGATCGTTGTGATTATTCGAGATCGTCTTTTAAGCTCAATCAGCTTTCAAACCTCTAGAAAACACAATCTCACCTGATCGTAGAATATCCATACAGTGACGGCCAGGTGTGCTGGCCATGTGACCTTTCCCTCCAGTCATTAGTGGCAACCAATTGCTTCCATCGCACAGCAGCAAGGCATTCTGGGGGACTTTGTAGCGGACAGTACCAGCAGTACGCTTGGTACAATTCGCAGCAGTGTCACCAAATTTGATAACACCTTGAGGTGATTTACCTTCCGCACCCGGTTTGCCTTTTTGACCCTGAATAAGAAAATTTAAAAAGGGTAAGATTTACATGGAAGCAACCTAGCGCGAGCTTGTCGACCAAACACTCTGTCACAATAAAAGCCTAAGCTTAACCAATCTTTGTGCCCCTAATTCCGTATTTTTCTTCAATGCCCCCTTCGTCTTTGACCTCCTTTATTTCAAAAATAATAATGGTAATTCGGAAATGGCCTATTGATAAGCTCCCTCATTATCAGTACCAGACCCCTCTGCAGAACCCTTGCCGGCCTCATTCTTTCCCGCGGGCGAAAAAAACGCACAATATTTCTGATAGTCGGGATAAATTGAGGTTATTTCACTGACATATCATTCTTTAAGTTACTCATTAATATGTACCACACAAGTGAACAGTGCTTTTATCACGCGCTGCTTGGTTAGTTCGGAAGTGAATAGCAAGTACTATTTACCACCGAGTAGTCGAAGAGACGAAATCACGCGTCGAGAGTTTAATTTCTGACCGAGTTTTTGTTACCTCGAGAGAAATTAACTGAATTGTTTTTAACTAAAACAATTATTCACCTCAGTGTTGGTGAGAATAATAAATATTTACCTCCACTTCAACGAATAGCTGTAAAATATTATTTTTCTAATAATTTTCTTTAATCTAACGCTGCAGAAGAAGAGATCGATTTTTATTTTTATTTTCAGAGTCAATTTGTGGTGGTTTTACTTACGTTGCATTTGCTGTTTGCTTTACAAACCTTTTCTCCCATTTTTCCGTTGCGTCCATCCCGGCCATCTATTCCTTGAATCAAAGATTATAAGAAACATCTTTATACCAGACGAGGTAAGTAAAAATCAATTTTAATCGTGTCGTCCGGAATCAGTTCACCATCTGGACATTTTTAATTCTTTCTTAGACCCGATCTACATCGACACGCAGGCCTTTTGGTGCGATTTTGCCAGTTATTCACTCTTAAACGTTCAGAAACGATAATGAAAACAACTTCTTTTGGTAATGGTTTCATCTATAGCTTGGTAGGGGCCCAAGTTAAGGCCTGAAATAAATCTGCTTGATAGAACTAGCTGGGAGAACAACTAAACTTAACTAAGTATCTAAAATCATCAGTCAGTTTCCAGACTATTCTTAAAGTTTTGTTTTCAACATATACCATTTCTCCCATCTCGACCGTCTCTACCTGAGAAAAAAAGAGGATAAGGCTTGTTATAAATGAAAAAGTAGAAAGATAGATAGATGGATAAATAAAGCTCGAGTAAAAGGTGAAACCTTACGAACAATATTCTTAATTACCATCGCGACAGTTACAGCATTCCTTTGAAACAGCCTTTCGACACTGGTTTTGTTGTGTACCATTTGCAGAATTCTTCAAAAAGAAATATGGTAAGTAAAACCTCCGATTTCACCCACCAGGTGCGGGGCATAATTTGAAAATAGGGGTGAAAACGGACTGCTAGTCAGGGCAGTCTTGAATAGAATTATCAAAATCTCAGTCAACCACAAAAATGCGAGACGTTACCCAAGTTTTGATCGTGAATCAATCAAAGCAGGTTTACCTGTTTGCTTGATTTACTTTGCAAGGTTGCCTGAAAACCCAAGACAAAAACAAAACTCATTGGGAAAAGTAACCGGAACATTTTGGCTCCCTTTTGTTACTCCTTCAACGTTAACCAGGTTTAAAAAAGTTTCAGAAGATATGGACGTTTTAATACAAAATTGTTTGTTTCCGCCTTAAACAAACGAGAAAAAAAGGCAAGACCGAAGTCTAGACTATTTGTTATGGTAATGATAATTTCATGTCACGGAAGTTTCTTCATCTCATACAGAGACTGTAGCTTACATGAATCGACAACTGAGTGTTTCTCAAGAATACTTGCGCGCGTAGGAAAACCATATGCTTTGGCAAATTTTTAGATTTTCGTGTTACGGGTTCTTATGCATGCTTTTTCGTCGGTCTTTGGGCTTTACAAGTAGATCTTTTCATGGATTGTTAGGCTGAGAACATCTGCGGTCTCGTAGCTGCTCAAAGGTATGGTTCGTTCGTTTATTTTTGTCATTTATTTGCGATTTCATGGTCATACACTTGTTGTAAGCGTTGCCGATCGCTTTCAGTTACATTAGATTTTTCTGTATTCGTTTCCTTAGTTTTATGGTTCGGTTCTTATGGAATATTTCTGCTGAGAAAGCATTAAAGAATCTGTAAAACTGTCAGCTATTAACCTGTGGTTTGTTATTGCGACTCTGGGTTGCCGATTTTGCAAGACGCCAACGGTTACAGAGACGTCCATTTTTCAATGACATTTGAACCTGCCTTATTTTTTTTCAGAATGAGTATAGTACAAATCCCAAGGGAAACTTATCGATAAATAACGGCTTCAGCAGAAACAAATCTATGCCCTGATGCGTTTTTTTGCACGCTGCTTTCAAATGACGTTTACGGTAATATTCTGCCTTAGCATATTTTTAGCAACAATATCTGTGCCGGAGGGAGGATAAATAATTTATTTAATAGTATAGAATATTCAAATTTTAACAATCTGTTGTTGTTCTCGTAGTTCGCGGTTCGCTCAATCATTCGAGACAATAAAGGCTCGTTTCCGAAAAAACAACATTTGATAACAACGACATTACCACGCCATTACCACATTACCACAATACATTGCGAACATAATCGTGACGCGACGTCACGACATGTGTAACGACATCCGCGTCAAATACCTATTTTTCGATGAAAACAAGAAAGTCGTGCTCACGTAACAAAAGAAAATGACAATTTTATTTCGAAAAGACTTTCTAAATTAAGTAATTTAATTCAGTCTTGAACAACTTCGTTGAAAAAAGAAGAAACAAAACAAAAAAACAAAAGACCGAAATGAAGTCTTACACGTTTAACACGCCTAACCGTTTCATGTGTCTCCTTCTTATACAGTAAAGTAACAGTCAACACAAAATTTACCAAATCGCTCAAATTCGCCATTTAGAACAACAGAAACGACAATACACGGCAAGTGAGGTAGGTTTACATTTATTTTGAGCCTTGACATAGACATTCCTTGATATAAGGTTTCGATATTACGACTCTTCAATATTCTCTCATACATTTCTTTATATTTCGAACAAACGACCAGACACGCCGCTTGTGTGGGCTCCCTGTGGTTTCTTACCGGTATTTTTGCTGCGCACGTCGTTGTCAACTGACGTTCCCGTCCTCTTGCTAAATAACAATTGAGACGGAAAAAAAAAAAAATAGAAAAAATAATTACAAAGATACGAGACCAAACTCACTGACAAATGCTGAGGGAAATACAGGGTGGACGAAAACTTTTGGGATTTACACAGAATGAAAAATAAAACACATAGATGTGGCGTTAAACATGACTAAGAGGCGTGGATAACACCAAGCGAAAATTATGATAAATGGATGATACGTGAAAAAACGAATAGAAAAAGCGTAAGTTGATGAATGCGAGCTACATACCATATGCAAAAAAATAATTGCAAATTGTAAATTCGCGAAAACCATTGTGTTATTGAAACGTTTCAAGCTCTGATGAATGTCAACGTACTGTGACACTTGGGGACTTAGTCACAGCGACCTTCAGTTGGGCTTAAAAGTGGACCGAAAAGAAACCGTTCTGAAACAAGCCGTTCAGTCAACCCCATGCATTTCAGAACAATTAAATTTCAGGAGTCCGACCTGTCTCAAAAGGAAACAGTTCAAAAGAAGCAGTACGAGATTTTTCTGCGGGAATATATACTTAGGTATGTAAGAATACCTTTTCTGTGGGAGGGAGGGAGAGGGGAAGGAACGTACGCATGTTGCTGGGCCTGTAAGAGAGAAAGCTGTACCTATGTCAATACATCTTTTTGTCGAAAAACCAGCTACAAGGAAAAAAAAAACCAAAGAACTTGATCTTTTTTTTTTCATTTTTTTTTAAGTTAATAACTATATTTAATTCCTTTGTACAATGAACTAAAATTTCCATAATTTTTCCTATATGTTAGTATGGCTTTCTACACGGGTCCACTTTATGTTATATCATTGGAATCTTCTCTATGCTGGGTATCACATCAACTTTGTAAAGTACAGGCGATGAGTCGAAATGCCAGATACTAGAATTCTTGCTCATGCGCCGTAGACGCCGGCAGTAGAGCAAGATAGCGGCTAAGACTGTTATGCTACAAACGAGGAGAATGAAACGAAACTGAAGGTCACTGGCGTAACTCCAGATAGCGTGGTAAGAGCTCTTGTACTGCGAGTGCAACTGAACTTCCCTGTAAATTGAAAAGAAAACGGTGCTATGATGAACCAATGGGTACAAAAGAAATTTCTAAATAAGTGGCGAGAGCAATTTGAGATTGCTATGGTTTCGCTCTACCGCGACCGATGATTGGTCAAGAAAATTCGCGTCACTTTCTAACCAATGAAATAAAAACAACTAATAAACAATCGCGACTTGGTAACTCGCATTTTCCCGCGCTTGTAGTGAGTCACGTGTGTTCACTTTGAGTTCTCATTAGTCACTTCGAATATTCCTATTTGTTCTTAATGGCCCTTGAGATTACCTTGAATGCGATTTTAAAACAACCCCTGGAAAAGCGTTGTATTCATGCAAGTAACTGCAAAATACTATTAAAGAAAGTTAGAACTCTGTCCCCAAATCTGCCGGGCGCTTTGCCAACATATCGCAAAACGACCTCCTTCTAAAGGCAAAACGTTTTAAATAGAAAGACTACCAAATGGCCGAAAACTAACGGACTATCACACTGAGCGGACATTTATTGCCTTACCTCAGAGGGAGAAATCTGGTTCGATAGAGTATGGCGCCGAGTGTCCACTGCACTTCTTTGCCGCGAATGTAGAAGGCTGAACGTAAATTGCTGTAGTTTTGAGGAAAATTGAAGCCTTCATGAAGAACTGTGGTCATCCAAGCTGCTTTGAAACACTGAAATCTGATACAAAAAATATTTCACCATCATTAATATAACTGTTCAAAGAAAATAACGATATTTATATAATAATAAGGTAATGGAAATTTATTCGATTAAATTCCGCCCAGCACCAAGGAAATTGAGGCTAGTGCAACTATGTTAACTCAGAAATAAATGTATGGTACCGGGCGCCCAGTTGGTTTGTAGGTAATCTGCGATTTTTCCCTATGTCTCCGTGATTGTCATCCTTATGAACCAATCATGCAAAACTGAAACCGATGACGCCGTGGTCGCTTTCATTTTCCGCGCTCACGGCGCAGGTCTAAGCCTTCAGTTCTCATTGGCTCCACGTGTTACTTTCAGTTGTTCTGATTGGCTCTTGTGATTACTAGAGTTTTGTTTTTTACTTCCCTCGTGAAAGTACGCTTTTCTTTTAGTTTTCCAAGTCACACAGAGGTCTCATAGAGCAGCTTAAATGCAACATAAAAACCCTGAAAGTTGCTAATAAACTGTCTTACTTGAGCCTATGATCATCAGCAAAGGGGTACAGGCCCTTAGAATGACGTGACACCAGAACTGACCACCTTGTGCTGCAGAACTCCTGAAATAGTATTGAAAAAAGTCCGTCAAATTGTCAACAAGCCTTTGCGTAATAACTGTTATGATTATACTAACATACTGGGCCCAGTTGTATAAAGGGCGGATAAGACAACCCAACTGAAAAATCGCTATCCAGTAGAAAAGTGATAGCAAAAGGGCCGCCTGGTTAGCTTATGTTGCAGAGCGTCGGACTGCCGTGCGAGAGGTCGAGGGTTCAAGCCCCAGACTGGACCAACATTCAGGGTCTTAAAATAACTGAGGAGAATGTGCTGCCGTTGCTACGATATCTGCAAATGGTTGGAGATTCTAGTCTTCTCGGATATGAACGAAAAACCGTAGGCCCTATCTCCTGCATCTTCTCTGTACTGGTTAGCAGGGGTCGTTAAAGAACCCATACAATTATCGCAGAGAGTAGGGAACGCAGTTCCCGTTGTCGTGGTGTGACCTTGTCATTGTTAACGCGGGATCCACTATAACTGGCTAAGCTGTAGTGGTCTCCCTGCCTGAGATAATTGGGCGAAGCTCAATATATCAATCAATCAATACTGCGCTATCCACCGGATAAATATTTATCCACTGGAAAGCGTTATCTTACCTTCGAACAACCGGGCCTGTTCTTTTTTTTCAGCTAAATATCAAAAGCTGTTTGAAATTGCTAAGGATCGAAAATCTCACCTCTACAGCTTGCTTCATGCTGCTTGCACTGTACTGTCCCCCGATTCTCAAGACATCATGCATTGAATACCAGTACTCGGAGAATCCGTAAAATTTCACGGTCTCGTAATCAATACGAGGCTGATAGACCGCGTTAAACGAACACGGCTTTTTCGGGCAGGGCCTGGTACGGTTGAGTAGCGGAAGAATCAGCTCTTTACATTTGACATATTCTCCTGTTCCAAGAAAGTTGTATTTCTTTCCCTTGTAAGTTCCTTGCTCTGTGCATTCAGCGGGTAAACATGGATCGAGATAAGCACCAGTTCTGTTGTGTATGCAAAGAGACTGGTCAACAATTAATCACCGAAGTGGAGGTATGTGTCCATCTCTTTCACCGACACAGAGGTGAATAATTGTTTTTGTATAGATCACAAAGAAACCGAAAAAATTAGTCCATTTCTGTCAAGAAACCGAAAATGGTTGGAATTAAATCGTTGACGAGCGATTTTGTCTCTTTGGGCTGCTCGCTGGTGGTACTCATGGTTCACTTTTGAACTAGCCAATCAATGCGCGCGAAAAATATTGTGCACCTGTGTGGTATATACTTAAAATAATCAAGTATCTAAATAATTATAAAGTATTACATTATACCATTTTTTGGCATATCGAAAGAAATAAACTAGTTTTTTGGGGTTTCTGTTGTGGAATTACGAGAAAATTTTAGTCTAAAAAGTGCCGCGCTCTATCAAGAAGTAAACTATCGGGGGAAGTTAGGGACCTGGAATGGACTCGTTTCAGCCAGAAGCAGTGGTGGCGATACTCACCAGAAACTATTATAATTGTAACTTTCACTTAACATCATTTATTCAGTATTACCCCGATTGCATGTTCGCGTGATTGTCCAGTCTGTTTTGTTGTCCCCCTTTTTACTTTCTTAACGCCCTACAGTTAATAATATCATAATAATAGTACTACAGTTTAGGTTTCTGGGCATAAATATGTTTTGGGCCCTTCTCAGAGCATTCTATAACCCTTTCACTTAGGTGAAAATGAATCTATATTGTACCCTAAACACATTTATGCCTACCAACAGGAACTCTATGGTTTATAACACTAGTTTGAAATGCTACTGAGGATCAACATGAAAACATTCCTATCCCCCTTTACTTAGTCTCCCAGGATACTTACTCGTCAATGTTCAGTGTTTTATTCTTGGTGATGACAAACTTTGTGTATCTGTCTCGGGCCGCATTGCCTCCAAACCCAAGGAACGTAGCAACATATAGATGGTAATTATGGGTAGTTTTGTGTGAGTCACAACCCAGGTTTACTTGCGCTCTTAAATCCGATGGAACCCATACCTAAAACAAAGAGAAGTATTTTACTCTGGGATCGTTACCTCAGACCTTCAATTGGATCAGCTTAACTCTTTCACTCCTAAAACCTCATTAGTACTTCCCCTTACTAATATCAACTGATAATCCTTTTGTTGATATTTTTCTTTATTCTCATCACTTGTTTGCTCGATATTGCATTGATGTTGTAAGAAGAAATTCTGTCTTGGTCACTCACGGAAGTTGAAGGGTTTGGGGTCCACAATTATTTACAAAGTATACCAGACTATTATAATACATGTAAGTAAATTTAAAATCGTTATATGATAAACAGTACTGTTTTACAGTAAAGCTGGTTTTCTTTCTGCAACGCTTAATGACCTCCTTCGCTAGCAGACTAATTTTTCTCTTTTTTGTTCCCTTTTTTTTTTTCATTTTTTATTTTATTTTAGTTTTTCGCGTTATTGATGTTTTGCAAATTAATTAAATCAGTTTTTTTATCTGGAAAAACTTTATGAACCCAAACTAAGGAAACATTTTAGAGTGACCTTTGTTCCATTTATTCCGTCTTTCCCATGAACGCCTTGCTTCCCTTTGACTCCCTATGTATCGAAAAAGAAATTGTTAGAAACATTTGTAAAGGAACTTGGTAAAGCTTCTATACCCAGTGGAAAATAAATTAAAATTTAGACACTAACCTTGAAGCCGTTTCATTCCGTCCTTTCCATTTGGTCCTCATTCTCCTTTATCGCTCTGAAAAGAAGAAACATTTCTGGCATTAAAACTTGTGACTGAAGTGATCACGACTGATCTATGATATCAAGATAGTGTTAGCTTTTAGTTTAAAAATCAGGCGACTGTCAACCACCTTGACAGCATTTATTATATTCCTCCGCTTACTTTATATTACAGAGACCTTGTTTACCTTTCTCACCATAAAATGAAATAAACAATTTATCTTTTAGATACTCCACATACTAAGGTGCCCACTGACGCTTTTTGTACTGTAGAAAATCATACAACACGAAGCGAGAGAATCGTAATTTTTGAGACAGTATATTTATCACACCAAGTCGTATTAATACTTCATTAAGCTTAGGTAAAGTCTATGTAACTCGTGCTGGAATCCATGTTTCAGTCTCTGAAATAAAAGTTTTGCTCTCCAGTAAACAGTTTGCGCTGGATGTGCGTATGATTCTACTCGAACGCAGTTATTTACTCCAGAATTCTGTAGACAATATCCCTTAGGTCTTAAAGCTATATGTGGTTTGGAAAGGGTTTTTTCTTTCCTTTGGTTTTTTTTCCGTTTTCAGTTGTGGTGTTTGTCCTTAGTGTCTTTGTTCATTTCTTCATAGTACCAACCTTCGCTCCAATTTTCCCGTCGCGTCTATCGCGGCCATCTTTTCCTTCAATCAAAGACAAGTAAATATTTGCTTGGAGTGAATTTCATGTAACAGAAGATATCTTGGAGAGGGGTGTTTTCAACATTCCAACTATCCTTTTTAGAGATATCTGGTCGTCTACAAGCGTACTCTGTTGATAACCGTGCACTGCTGGCAGAACGATGTCACCCAGTTATGGCTGTTAAAGTGATTCGCCGTTTTGTATAGAATTGTGTAAAAATTCAGAAGTGCTACTAAACTATCCAATATTTTTCTTGGCTAATCCATACCATTTGCACCGTCTCTACAGTCTGTCTCTACCTGAAAAAAGGGGGAGAAAAAATGGTCGGTGATGTAAAAGAAAACTATGAAATACCAGGAATTAAAAAGTCCACTTGGGCACAATATGAAACTCAGAGAGATGTGTTACAGTCTTACCGTCGCGGCAATTACAACTGCCCTTTGAAACAGACTTTGTTCCATTCGTCAAACCCTGAAAACAGTGAGGTCTCTATCAACGTGGTACGACTCAAAACTGAGCAGTGCACAAGGTTAAGTAATAAACTCGCCGGGTTTAGTATGAATAATTAAGGACATTATTTAGTAATTCCCAGAGAGACGATATGCCTTAGTGTTCACGACAACAAATGCTCACTTGCCGATTGGTTCTTTGAGATTGCAAGTGTACCCAGGATAAAACAAAGCTTAGAAGAAGAAATAATCGGAACATCTTAGCTACTTCTTCTTCCCCTGAAAGTTCCTTTGGAATGAAAGCAGAGTTTCAAGACGTGAGCATTTATATGCAAACTTTGAAGTTAGTGGAACATTTGCATTTCATCAGAACGAGAAAAAACGGCACGAGAGCAATTTGTTCTGATCACTTTTTGTTTATTTAGCGGTCTGCTTTTTCGCTTGTCATACCTCAAACCTTATTATTTGAGCGGTGCATTTGACGGTTTTTCACGGATGATATCTCTCAAAGCCAATTTGGTCATATTTCTACAACAAATCCGATGAGAAAAAAGGCAAACCAACAAAGACACGCGATATACTCTGATGTTTGTACAAATATTTACAATGCTTATGTCCTCGTTCTACTAAAGAAAAACAATGATTGATACTAGGCGACAGTTTTTAATAAGGATAGCGTGACGAACAGGTCACGCTGATTGCTTCAAATCGATGTTCTTGCTTCAGTCCTTCTCAAAAGAATTAGTAATTATTCATACGCGCAGGGGCTCTTAGATCGCTAGCACACAAGCACCTCGCACCACTTTGTACAAATGGCTGCTTTTTCGTGCCCTTTCTTCTTGGACTCTTATCATTAGCTCATCTTTTCTTATTCGAGGATGGCAGCTTTAATTAGATGAGTTCATCGAGAACCGCAACAGTACTGAGAATTGACAAGTGAACAAAATTCCTGATGAAAAAACCTCTTATCTTCTCGCAGCAACTTATGTTAGCTTTAGATGCTTTATTTCAGTCGTTTCTTGGTCGTTTTTCTCCAAAAGATAAATCGGCGCGGCCGCCATTTTGCTAAGTGTTTACTAGTGCCATAATCTCGACCCAGATTTTCTCCCCGTTGCTTTGGCCACCATTTTAGTTGTGGCTGCAATCATATGATCTGCTGGATTCAGAGGTTTTTTGCCACCTGTCTCCTTTTTTGTTTGTTTGTTGTTGGGTTTTTTCAGTTACAAGGCTACATAAATAGAGTGCTCAAGCGGTCCGGAATTCCACCCGAAGACCTTATTAACATATTTTATGCCTTGGTACGATCGGTCCTCGAATACGCCTGCGTCACTTGGTCTACTAGCCTACCAATTTACCTCAAGGACATGATCGAAAGAGTTCAGAAAAGAGCTCTGCGTATATTATTTCCGGCGCTGAGCTACAAAGACGCCATTGTGGCTGCAAACTCCACTCGCCTAAATGTGAGAAGAGACGAACTCTGCAAGAAAGTTTGGGGCGGTATCTGTGTGCCTGGGTCACGGCTGTACCACCTTATTCCACCAAAGCGCGCCGATTGCCACGTTTATGAGTTGCGCAACAAAAACCATGTATCACTCTTTAAATGCCGGACCGAAAGATTTAAAAAATCTTTCTTTCCAACAATGGCGTCTAACGCCCAGTTCTTGTAGTCAAGCAAACCTAAGCGTTTTTCATTGGTATGTAACTGCCGATTCTTGTAATTCCCAGTCCCTTTAGACTCTTAATTTTAAAGTCAAATGTAAGATTTTCGTATTTTTTAAATATTTAAAGTATACTTGTAAATTCACATGTATTTCACCACTTGGGTGCCATTTTTGAATACTTTTAATAAACCTTCTATCATCATCATCATCAAATATCATACTAAAATAACTAAATAAATAACCAAATAACAAAGGTAATAAATGCGCGATAGAAAATTAGTGGAATACATTAGGAGAAAAAAATACAATGGATTGGATTTAGTATTTACAAATTCATAGATTAATCAGAAAAAAAGTGGGTTAACAATTATTTTTCTACAACCTTTGACAGAGCCTGAAGATTTAACATCGTCTCTTAGATTATTCCAGCGGCTAGCACCACGGTAGGTGAAAGACCGCTGTCCGGTGGTTCGACGGCACCTTGGAATGTTCAGTTGGCCGCATTGTCTAGTGTTTCTGGTATGGATTTGAGAGCGCAGAGTAAATTGCTCCATTAGTAGTCAGCGATAAGTTTGTTAACACACTAATTACGGCATCATTCAAGCAAAGTCTGTCATTAAAAGGCAGTCAATTTATGGATTTGATACCTTGTGAAATGTAATCAAACTTTTTGAGGCCCAGTACAATCGATTTGCAATGCCGAAAAAAAAAAAAAGAAAAGAAACTTTTGGAGGTGTCCAACCTTCCTTGTACGTCCATGATTTTGGTTTGAAGCAACAAAGTATATAAACAGTTTGTATTTCCTTGGATGAAGTCAGACATTTCAAAGGATTGTAAAGTCGTCTTGAATGACGTCAACCTTGGGGGGTTGGATCATACAAAAAAGAGAAGAGCAAAAGATCTCTTAAAGAGTTGCGATTGCCCTGATTTAATGAAGCCAGATGACGCATCAAACCTGTATGCGATTTAAAACGAAATAAAGAAAAAAATATTTTGGAAAAAATTAAATGTTTCAACAGTATTTATTCTCCTTGTCCAATCCCCGACCTACAATTATCCAAAACGTTTTCACACTAATTTCCTAGCTCTTGATACAACTACAACAAAGCTTTCCTGTCTTAACATTGTTTCTCTTTTATGTTTCAACACCTCACAAAAACTTGACAGAGCCGTTTCTTAATTTTCAACTACAGTTTATTTCTATCGCACCATCACCCAGATTGGCTTGTTCAGATAACAGTAACCCGCAATACACTTGGTACCAATCGCCCGGCTGTCGTCGGAAGTGACGTAGTTGTTTGAGCTTTCAGCATCACTCCACATGTCGATCCACTTGTCTGTGCCAATATGGTCCTCAGAAAGCCCGTACTTCGTAAAGATAGCCAACTCCTTGATTTTGTAAAAACCTACGGTCGGATTTCTCTTATTGTGACCTGCAGGGCTGTACTTGTAAAACCCCGGGATTTTCTTAATTTTATTATAAGTTTTACCCATCAAGTACCTGTCGAACTCTGTTTTGTCCTTATTTGGAGCACCAGCCTTCCTGTTGTAAATAACTCGGATGTTATTAACGTCACTAAACGGGAACATGACCTCTTCCCAGTCCCCCATATCAGGGTGAATGTGACTCGCTGCATCTGCATACTTAGTTTTAGCGGCCGATGGTGAGAACGCTGTTTTGATAAAGAGGAACTTTAGTGACAACTTTGACGCAACTAATGTCCAACCTCCATTCTCTGTCTCCATGTCGCAAAAAGCCTGGAAGGAGTCACCTGTCGATCCTCCGTTTGGGTCGATCCAGTAAAGTCCGCTACCATGGCTTCCACCTGAAAGAGACGGTTGTGATCATTTGAGATCGCTTTTATGCTCAATCAACTTTCAAATTAACCTCTACAAAACATAATCTCACCTGATCTTAGGATATCCCTACAGTGACGGCCAGGTGTGCTGGCCATGTGACCTTTCCCTCCAGTCATCAGTCGCAACCAATTGCTTCCATCGCAGAGCAGTAAGGCATTCTGGGGGACTTTGTAGCGAACAGTGCCAGCAGTACGCCTGGTACATTTCGCAGCGGTGTCACCGAATTTGATTACACCTTGAGGTGATTTACTTTCCGGACCCGGTTCGCCTTTTTCACCCTGAAAAAGAAAAGTTAAAAAGGGTAAGATTTATATAGAGGCAATCTAGGTTTGTGTATTGTACGGGCTTGCCGAACGAACATTACACTAGTAAAAGGTGCAAAAAGCAAAAATTTTCGTTGTATTTTTGATGGTCTCTAGGTTCCTCTTGCTTGGTTCAAATTTAATTCAAGAGCCAGAAGGACTACCAAATTTCAACCTTCACTAAACATATAATGCTTCCGTATTTTCTTTGTCTTCCAAAATTTAAAACTAATGAAATACTGCCATAGTTAATATAAGACAACACTCTTTATCACGATAAAAGGCTAAGCTTAACTAACCTTTCTCCCCTCAATTCCGTCTTTTCCTTGAATGCCCACTTCGCCTTTGACCCCCTTTATATGGAAATAATAAGAAGGATGGTAACAAAATGAAAATGAAAGTGCTCGCTGCCGGTTATAAATTGCAAAGATTGTGCTTCTGATAGTTGGGGTACACTTTGGTTATTTCTCTGACATTATTCTTTATAATAAGTTATTCATTAGTATGGACCACGCAGGTGAATGGTGCTTTTAACACGCGCTAATTGGCTTGTTCGGAAGTGAATAGCGAGTACTATTCACCACCGAGCAGTCGAAGGGACAAAATCGCGCGTCGAGAGTTTAATTTCTGACCGAAGTTTTGTTACTTCAATAGAAATTAACTGAGTTTTTCTTCACTAAAACAATTATTCACCTCACGATCATGATCATTGCAGGTAAGAGTGGTGGATATTATCTCCACTTCAAAACGAATAATTTTTAATTATTATTCAAGTATAATTTCAGAGCTGAGCAAAGAGTTTCCAGCAATCTGATTGGTCGAGCGCTTCCTTATATGACGCTATATAAACCGCTCCGNCTCAGGTTCGGTGAATATTGTCGAATAATCTCCTCGACTTCGTCTCGGGGATTATTCGACATTATTCAACTCGCCTTCGGCGAATAATTGTTAAATAGTTTTCTTTGATCTGCCACTGCAGAAGAAGAAATTGATTTCTCTTTTTCTTTTCCGAGTTAATTTGTAGCGGTTTTACTTCGGTTATATTTCCTCGCTTTACAAACCTTTTCTCCCATTTTTCCGTCGCGTCCATCGCGGCCATCCATTCCTTCGATCAAAGATTATAAGAAACGGTGAAATATGAATTGTACATCTTGTGCGGTTGAGAATGTGAAAGTCTTTATGTCAGACGAGGTAAGTAAAAATATCATTCTAATTTTAACCTTATCATTTGGAGTCAGTTCACATTCTAGCGGAGACTGTCACCACTGAACATTTTTAATTCTTTCTCAGATCCGATCTAAATCAACACGCAGACGTTTTGATTCGATTTTGCCAGTTATTCACTCTCAAACGTTCAGAAACGATAATGAAAAACAACTTCTTTTGGTAATAGCTTGATAGCCCTGAAATAAATCTGCTTGATAAAACTAGCTGGGCGGAGAACAACTAACAGTAAGTTATCTAAAATCATAAGTCAGTTGCTGGACTATTCTTAAAGTTTTGTTTTCAATACATACCATTTTTCCCATCTCGACCGTCTCTACCTGAGAAAAAAGGAGAATAAGGCTTGTTATCAATGAAAAAAGTAGAAAGAGAGATAGATGAATAAATAAAGCTCGATTAAAAGGTGAAACGTTACGAACAATACTCTCAATTACCATCGCGACAGTTACAGCATTCCTTTGAAACAGCCTTTCCATACCGCCTTCGTTGTGTAACATTTGCAGAGTTCTTCGAAAAAGAAATATCGTAAGTAAAACCTCCGATTTAATTTCACACACCAGGAACGGGGAATAATTCGAAAATATGGGGGAGAAGGCCGTGCCATTCACCGGAGTCTCAAATCTACCCATAAATAAAACTATTAAAATTTCAGTCTATCACAAAATGCGAAATGTCACCCAAGTGTTGATCGTAAATCAATTAAAGCAGATTTACCTGTTTGCTTGATTTGCTTTGCGAGGTTGCCTGAAAACCCAAGACAAAAACAAAACTCAGTGAAAAAAGTAATCGGAACATTTTGGCTTCCTTTTCGTTATTCCTCGAACGCTTGACCAGATTTAAGAGCTTCAGAACATATGAAAGTTTTTAATGCAAAATTATTTTTTCCACCTCAACCAAACGAGAAAAAACGGCAAAACAGAACTGAACTAGACTATTTGTTATGGTAATGATCCTTTCAAGTCACGAACATATTCTATAAGGAAGTTTCTTTATCTAACTGACAGAGACGGTTTCCATTTCTAAGTGACATTTAAACCTGCAATATTTTTTTCAAAATGAGTGTAGTACAATTCAAAAATGAAATTCATCGAAGAATAACGGCTCAGTAGAAACAAACCCATGCACTGATGCCTTTTTATAGCGCACTGCTCTCAAATAACCTTTACGGTAATGATTCCGCCTTAGCACATTATTAATATCTGTGCCGAAGGGAGGATAAAGAATTTATTCAATACCTATTTTTCGTTATAATTTTCATCAAGAGTGGTCACCTAAACCGTGTTATCACTGATTTCTTTGCTTATCATTATGGCGTTATCATACCTGATTACCAGTGAAGAGGCATGGGTCCGCTTCAATAAAACACGGTTACTCTACAGATGATCTTCCCAACTCTTACAGTGCGAAGAATTAAGAAGTAAATTCTTAGCTACTGGGCAGAAAAACGACTTTCACAAAATGATGTATTAACAATTGAGACGGAAAAAAATTATTACAAAGATACGAAGAGACCAAACTCACTGGCAAATGCTGAGGGAAATACAGGGTGGACGAAACTTTTGGGATACAACAAACAACAACAACAACAACAACAAATTTATTTAAAGCTTAATAAGAAAATTACAATGCTTGGGCCTGCAAGTAGCTAGGGCTATTCGAGGCGG